AAATTTTTGTAAAGCCTGCAGTAGCAGCAGGGAGGGGTATGTTTCTTTCTCTATGCAAACTGGAGCAGTGCTGCGGTGCACGTAGGTGCAAATGAAAGCCACTTCATTGAAAGAATCCTGTGGCAAAAGCCCAGCCAAACCAGGAGGTTCGAAGGGGGTCTTGTGTGTATACTCCTGTCAGGGCTTTGGTGCAGCAAGAAGCGTTAGTTCTCTGATTAAAAAGGACAAACAATATGCACGAATATATAGTACGATGTGTGTTTCATGCTCCAGTTCAACCAACAAAAGAGGGAATCACTCGAAGGGAAACAGAATAGTTTTTGGCCAACAAAAATTGGTACAAGAAATGTGCAACATATACTGAAATATATACATTTTCCCCTTCATCCCATAAATGTATTTATTTTCTTAAAAATCATTTCCTAAAACCCCTTTTTCAATAAGAATACAAACTTGTATTCGTCAAACTTAATCCCTCTAGAAATCCCCCTGTATTTACTAAAATCTTTTCAATAGATTCATCAACCTCAACACTTTTGGTGTTAATTATACAGAAACATGAATATATATTTCTCAATGGCCAACCAGACAGCATTCAGTTCTAACAAAATAAAAATAAAAATAAACCAGAAAACCCGGCTCTGGGGGAGCTGTAAAAGGTGTCAACCGAATTGTGAATTGCATTTTTGGGGTGCGGTTAACCGGAGTTATTAAAGCAAAATGGTAAATGGTAAATGGTAAACGTTAAAATGGTAAATGGTAAATGGCTTGTGCTGTCCGCCAACTGGACTGTCATTTAATGTCGGCTGGCAGTAATTAAATATTTAAACCTATTTAACTGGACAGCCAAAAGTCAGAGCCAAGCAGCATTAGCATTTCGTTAACAATTCCGATGCCAAATATATATTTCAAAACCAAAACAAAACCTGTGTGTGTGGGCGGAACTTGAGTTGTGACACGAAAATGGGTGACTAGAGAGCATTTTCTGTGTGTGGGTCTCTCAATTCCCAATTGGTTAAATGAAAATATTTTCTGTTCTCTTGGTAAATATTTTATTTTTGAGCTTTAACTTTTATTCTTGTTTGTCACTTGGATTTTTCCTTGTCATTGGCTATACTACACAATGTCCTGCAGGATATTGTCTTGTTACGAACAAAACACTTGCCTTGTCCTTATCGTCCTTGGTCCAGACCGAGCCAACAAAAAGCTGATGAGAGTGAAGCGAAGGATAAATTGTTTTCCCATTCTCTGGTAATTTTTATGGATTTACACGGACACGCTAGCTTTTCTCCATCCCCCCCCTTGTTTTCCTGCTTTCCTGTATCATGTATTGTTTGTCTGTGCTTAAGTAGCCGGAAGTAGATTTTCCCCTGGCCCGACAACAAATTAATTGTGTTGAAAACGATGCTTTTGTTGCTATTTCTCCACTCGGTGTAAAAATAAATAAATAATCGTCATCAGCTTAACATATATTGGTTATAAATTGAACAGATCGAGCGTGAAATATATAAAGTGGATTATTGTTTTAATGGAAAGAAAAACAGAAATGGCAAAATCAGCAAGAGAGCTGGCTTTATATATATATATATTCGATATATATTAAGACACAATTTAAGGGATAAATTGCTGGGTGGTTGGGTGGAAAATCCAAAGAGAGATTATCTGCGGGGCTTAACAGTGAATTGTTGCCGACGATGATGATGATGTTGATAACTGGCTGAGAATGCCCACACAAAAACATAAAAGTCGTGAGTAGTTTAGGGATTACTTTTAGTGATAAATGTTCTTGTAAGTTCAGACAAAATAGGGGAGAAATACGAATGGAAATACCATTTCTTAAAGTAAAAATACAAAATCTGCTAGAAAAACTACGAATCCTTGATATCCCTTACAGTTTACACACATATCTATATACCCAATATCCTACCCAGCTTTACCATTTCCTTCCGGCAATCATTATCCCTCTGCCACAGAGGATCTCCCTCAAATTTCAACGTCAAAACCATTTTGGAGCAAACAGATTACCGGCAGGGGCCAATGCCCGATTGATGGCTACATGTGTAGACAACTGGGTAAAACCAGACAGACGTCCTCTATCCTGCCCACCGATTGAACCCACAATCCCATCCATCCAACCCCCGAAAATAAATTAATCAAAGAGCGCGAAAGGACAACAGTTTAGTTCGGTGGCAGGAAGAACGAGGGGGGGCTTACAGTTTTGGTTGTTTAGGAAATCGTAAATCCATTAAAAGCCTCATTTAGAACGCTTTTGACGCATTTAGAGGCGGGTTTGAGGATTATTTGTAGGCTCCAAATTGATTCGTTCCAAGAGAAGAGGAGAGACGGAGACCAGGACTTTTAATTGTGAACGGATTCTGTAATTGATTGTGCCCTCTTATGACTGCTGGCTTGGCTGTCAGGCTTTCCACTCAGTTTCATTTCAAATGGAAAACAGATTTTCCTGCCCCCGCGTTGCTGCCTTTACATAATGGGTTTACGAGCCAAGGAAAAGGCCAAGAAAAAGGGACTGTGGCAGAGGCAGGAAAAGGGTTGAGGGCTTGTGTTTTTCATGCCTTTTGGGGCTTTTTGGTCTACGATTATTTCAGCAAAGAACGTACCGAATTTCCAACTAACTCCTTTAGGCATTTATTCACTCCCATTCTCTCTCTGTTTCTAATTTGTCCTACCGTATTTTGTCAGCTTTTGGTTTGGGTAATTGATTTGCGAAATTACATATTTTGTATGCCAGATTTTTGTTAGCACAACGAGAGAGTGACTGGTTAATTTAGTCAAAAAAGGTTTTAGCCTGATGATTGACAAGCCAATCGAGAAATGAAAATGCATAGTTTATGCTTAGATGAATGGCATTAATATTTAATACATTTAAAGAGCTTGCAGGAAAATATTAAGAGTCGCCTTAGGGATAATGAAAATGGTTTTGAGGTGTCAAACTATTATGTTATTGTTATTTTATTTTACGCATTAGATATTTACTTGTTTGTGTTTATTTGAAAATGCTTTTAAGCATTAAATATATTTTAAACATTAATAAAATGAAAATATATTAATAATGTAAAGGCTCTTGTTTGATAATAAATTCCCATTAAAACTGCAACTACAAATATAATAAAGATTGCTTACTTATCTCTACAACCCTTTAAAAAAAACTCAAGAATTTCTAGCCCCGTTGTAGCTGTAAATAGCCTTCCATTTTCTATATTTATATGACCCGATCATTATCTATCCAATAAGCATTAATTCACGCTCTCACACGGCGCCATTATCATTAGCGGAGACAGAGGCAACAGCAGAAGCCAGCCAGCGACCTATGTATCTGGCTCATAAAGCACCGCAAACACTCGGCTACAGATACATTTGCAGATGCTTTTACAGATACATCTCGCAGACAATCGTCGTGATGTGAGCTAAATGCAATCCAGGCAAACAAGCTGCTAAATTTCGCACGCAGCTCTCAAAAGGCATTTAAGCACGGGGTCTCCGTCTCCCCGGCTAAGCCAAAGATGCTGACAACGATGATGATGGCGAATGGATATAGGCGGCAGGAGAGTATCGGGGAACAAAGGCGACTGATGGCACCATACAGCCAAAGAAAAACGAGAGCAATCAAGGACATTTAGGATGTGTCACAACCTTGAAATACCCTAAGCATTGGAAGGGAGTTACATACATTTTTGACTGTGTAAAAAGAAAAGAATGATGTGCTTTTGAATTTTAAATGTTTTCCAACAAGTTAAAGGTTGTAATTAATTGTTGTTTCTTATATTTCATATATTCCAACATTTTTCTAATCAAGAATATACATTTTCTGTTCCAGTAAACTTCCACAAATTCCCCTTCAAGTACTGGGTATATTAAGCAAAAGAAAATCGGCGAGTCAAAGAAAAAAGCAACAGAATCGCATAGCAAAAGTAGCTCAAAGATACACATGTATCTGCCAGATACCAGACAGTGAGGGAAGTGTGAATTATCCTGCCTCAAAGTATTTAATGCGCTTTACACATGGCAGCAGGGCAAACAAGTGAGAGAACGAGAGAATCTGCTAAAAATAGCAAAGGGAAAAATCATCGGAGAACAAACATTGGATCATTACTCATCCAGAGCAAACATACACAAAATAAATTGTGGAAAATCAGTCAGTTGGATGGACTTGAAAAACCAACAATAATTATAAAAAGCTGTTGATACGCCGCTGCTGAGATGGAAAACGCAGCGGAAAATTAATTAAAGAACGTGAAAATGCAACAGGCTGACCCTCCGTTTGCAGTTCAAGTTATTAAACATTCTTTGGTTCTTGTTATGTAGCTTTTTTTCTTTTTGGTATATTTTTTTAAGCAGGCATTACAAATTACACAACTCGAAAAAGAACTGGTTTACCTTTCCTCAAACGAAGCCAAAGAAGCGATCTACCTGACGTTGTTAACCATCTTTTCTGAGTTACGAGGCAGGTAGAATGCGGGTATCCCTGGCCTTCTCCTCTTTCTCTCTTTTCTCTCTCTTGTTTTGTTGTTTTTTTTTTTCATTTTTGTTTTTGGCTATGCCAAGGACCTCCTGCTGTTTTCCCTGGTGGTTGGAAATTGTTTTCTCGGCGCAACAGGATATGCATTTTTTTCCTACTCAACTCTGCTCTACAAATTGAGTTTGGAGTTCAAATGAAGACATAAAAAACAAGAAATTTTTGACCTACATGAGGCCAAACAAAAAAATTTATATAAGATAAACTTCCAGGAATATTGGAGGTTTAGCTAAAAATTTGCCAGTCATTTTGGTCTATTTTGCGGAGAGGGAAACCTCTTCAGAAAACTCTTTAATGCTTAGAATATTGACTCCATATGCCGTCGGGCATTCAAAAATCATCAATAATATTTAAGGGAATTTTAAGTAGTTATATTTCCTTAATAATTGAATATTTATCATTTCGCCTGGTAATTATTATCCTTCTTATTTAATAAATAATAATTTTTTTTAGTAAGAAATCGTACCTTTCCGCCAACTTTCAGCTCATAGCCCATGCCCAGCGGCGTTTTTAGCTGAACGGGACAAACGAATCCTATATTGCGATGAGGACTCTCTACGCCCGTCTGGTGCTTTCGCGTTGTCACCTTCCTGGTGGGCGTGGCTGCCGTAGAGGCCGACGATGTGGTGTTCTCTGCCACGCACAAATCCTCGCCACCATGAACTGGGAACTTTGAGCACTCGAGATTTTCCGGCCATTCGAAATTGTAGGTCTTCATTAGTTTCTCACAGACTCTAGCGGATTCGCATAGCGATCGGCAGGGCGGAATGGGACGCTCCAGGATGGTGCAAACGGGTACATACAAGGAGCACAAAAATAACTGCAAATCGTCGCTGCAACCGATCTTCACCAGCGGCGCAAACTGATGCACCTCCAGGCCGGCCTCCTCCTGCTTGGTATGCCCAATGAGATTTGGCATAATGGTCATATTGTAGGGTATATTCTTGCAGATCGAAATGGTAATGGGTTCGCAGCGATTGTGATGCGGTAACCCATCCAATTCGGTTCCTGAACTGGACATTAGGCCGCCGCCACTACGATAATAGGGACTGGCATCCAGGGGACTCTGGTCGTAACGTTGGACGCCCTGAATTAGGGCGGGTAAAATAAACAGGATCTGCAGCCACATTTTGGAATCTTTTGCGTAAGACTCTGTCTAAAAACGATCCTTTATTTTCCTTGATTTTTTAGGAAACAATTTTAAAACACACACATGTTGCTCATTTCGGGACACTCACTTTTATTTATTAGATTTTTATTTTTGTTATTTTTTATTATTTTATTATTATGGTATATATCTTTTGTTTAATCAACTCTACTCCCACGAAACACTTAACACCGCTTAAACATTTGCCGGCGGCAAATATTTGTGTTTGGCCTTAATTAGCAAATAATAAATATTTCGCCTTATCTTATTTTCGTTTGCTTTTGATTTTTATTTTTATTTTTTACTTCGCTTTCTTATTGACAAACGGTTATGGTTTAAATTATTTATTTATTATCTTTATATTCTTATTTCTTATTACTTTTCAAAGTTGCGAGCTGAAAACATTATTTCGTCAACTTTATATAACTTTTTTTATGTTTGTAATTTATGTACGTTTCTTCTTTGCTACTTTCAACGATTTTTATTTAAATTTGCATTTTTTTATGCTTCACTTTATCATGGGTACCAATTTTTTATATATTCTTTCACCAAATTTATAAATTGGACTCAAGTACCGTTAATTGCCAATTATATATCTCATATTCTTTACACTTCTTCAAAAACGCGCGAAAATAACCGTAAACCCGGAATCGAAACCGACATCAACGTCCACCTTCTGCACGGCACTTTACGTCAAAAGTCGAAACGGAGCCCGAGTTTGAAGCTAAATCAATCCGCGAGCACAACCGCACGGCAGGGCATACGCTGACAAACTGAGGAACTGAGGAACTGAGCCCGCCATGCGCTGACAAACTGAGAGACTGGGAGACTGGCCAACTGCAAGTAAGCGAGACCAAAACACAAGGCGCGTACACTACAAAAGAAAACGGAGGTACTTCTTCGATTTAAATATACCATCTGTTGAGGTACTTTTTATGAAACATTAAGGTTTAGAGAACCAAAAACACATTTCTTTAATAAATTTACAACAATATAGAGTTTATCACAACTGGGATTTCAATTTCATTTAAGGGGGTGGTTTCTGGTTTAACGTTTTCAGTGTACATGGCGGCTCTGTCTCTCGCTCCCACGCTGAATATGCGCTCTTTCGCTGTGACTTTCTCTCTTCAGCTATGCCCCTTGCTGGGGCTCCATGGGGGCGACCTTGAATTTGACGCCTTCAATGAAAAGAGAGCAAAGAGTGGTGGACCCAGAGAGTAAGAGATGTATTTTAAAAACAGGGTCGTTATGCCATTTGTTTTGGATGCTGTCTCCTTTGCACTCTCTTCTTAATATTTTGCTCTGCTGTTGATTAGTTTAAAAAAAGTCATTAAAGGTAGAAGAAATATCAACAATTTGTTAAATTTAATATGGGAAAATGTACAAATATTTAAGCGCTTAAGAAGGCTCATATTTAGATACAAATTATTAAATAACAAATAGACCGAATAATTTGTAAATGCAATTCAAACAAGAATTTTAAGAAAATCAATTAATAAAACATTAAAAAAATACTTTTTTATTAACTAATGTTTAGGATGTTTTCAAAATAAATTAAATTAATTCAGAAAATATTTCCATTTCGTTCTATAAAGTCTCTGAAACAATTTTGAATACCAAGCAAGGTTATTAAATTATAAAGATATAAAAATTCCTATGGATACAAAGTGATTAAAGTAAGATTACATATACCATATATGTAGTTCATGATACTATTTTCTGTGGCTCTTTAATTCTGTTGTCTTATCTTTGCCCTTGTCTCTTATCAGTTCATCGATGACCGTTACTTTTGTGTTTTATTTTCTTGATCTCCTAATGTCTGTTTCCGCTAGTGCCGTTATAGGACATTAGCCCTCTGACAATTACTATTCCCCCTTTTTTTCGCTCCAGTTCTATGGGGCATATTTGCACGCGTTAATTTCCTTGATTTGCTGCGACAATTTTTTATCACCATCCATTTCTCTGCGCACTTGCATTTATCATTTATCTTTATCTAGTATCTCTATCGTTTTTGTTGTTTGTTTGCCTCGGTTGCTTGGCTTTTTGTGCCGACAGTTAATTAAGTCATTAACTTGCGTTTAATCTGCGCTTTAGCATGAGTTAAGAGAACTTATGCCGGGAATTTCTCTAATGACCCCGAACGAAGGAGGTGGCGGCGGCGGTTGGGAGGGGGGCTGAGAGCATCTGCCGCCAGTCAATAAACTTGTTATATTGACAATAATGATGACATTAGAGGAGGCTCCAGTCTTTTGTCTTTGTCACCTGTGGAACCCTTCCCCCGATCGGGGACTCGCTCTCTCCCGCTCTTAGTTTAACATGTTTTCCTTTGGCAACATAAAATTGGAGCTCCACAGCGCTCTCCACCGTTCTCTGGGCTCACACGCGCTCTGTGATAAACAAGTGTTACCGGTTTAGCCGGCAATGTTCAATTCTATGGCTTTTTCTCCGCTCTCTTTTTATGCTCGCCCCACCTCCACCTCCATCGGGTTCTCTCTTATTGCCTATTCCTTGCTTCTACACTTCGTCGGCTTGTTTAATAAAAAGCGCCAAAGTTGGGGCCGCATAAAAAGACTCTTGCCTCTCTGTCGGTCTTCCTCCTCTTCGGCTGACAATGCGTACACTTCAAGAAATTGAAATTAATTGGAAAATATTTATGAAAATTATGATTTAGACTGGGTTTTTTACTTTTAATAGATAAATCCTTGTTTTATTTACTATCTGCCAGGGATAACTTAGTCTCTGCGAATTTGAGATATGGTCAAAAAGTATGCTACAAAATTGTTGCAATATACATCTTACATAATAAGTGAAATTTATTTGTGTAAATGCTTTTCAGTACTCTAATTTTCTCAAAGTGTACGCTTGTCTTGGCTTCTTGCTCATTGTTGATGTGTTGCTCGGTTTCCGTTTGGCTCTCATTGTTGTTGTTTCTGCAGTTGCCGCTCATTTTATGTTTACAAGTGAACGAACTTTGACGTTATACCGTCTCTCTCTCACATTACCTCTCCCAGCTTATCCTGCTCTTTTGTCACTCTCCCACTCGCTTGTTAGAAAGTGTTTTTGCTGTTGTTGCTGCTCTCTCGTGCCTGTTTTTGGAATATGTAATTTAATGTAATTAAAATGGAATAAAGACGAGGAATAATACCCAAATGCAGATGAACTTCAGGAAGATAAGCGAAAGTAAAATTGAATTTGCTGCCGCTGTACTTCCTCTTTTTCACCTGTGTATGATTTTTTTCAGAGTAATTGTTTTTAATGACAGTTAATAGGGGTTTCAGACATATTCTCTAAGCGAAGCTAATTAAGAAAATTATTATATTAGAAATATAATTTGGTGCTGTTTATTAATAAAAAAATTTTAATTTGATTTTTAGCATAATAAACTATGTTTGTGTTTAATAATTTCATAGTTTTATAAACTTGTTTTTAAATTCTATTATACATTTAATAACATATTTTAAATTATTCAAATAATACTAAATATCATTTTAATATTTGTATTATTTTTCTAAGTGAATGTTTTTTATAATATTTTATTGTGGTTAATTTTGGGGTTTGCATAGGGTTCTCCCCTCTGATTTCTTTCCCCAATTAGACTGATTAGAGTGGCTCTTGTTTCCCCTTTTCTTGCGTAACTGCTCAAGCCTGTGATTATAGAGACTTCCCATCAAAAAAAAAAAAAAAAGGCATCCCAACTCATTTGTAGCCAAACAAAATTCGAGGGATAAACAAATCAATCCGCACAAGTTCAGTCATGTCTCGAATGGCAAGCCAAAAAGTAAACAACCCCCCTGGACCCACATGTGGGCTAATGCAAAAGGGACTTGGCCCTAAGCCATAAAAAGGGTTTTCAGTTACTTACATAGAAAAATACAAGTATTTACTTTTTGTATGACCTAAGCCCCAACCATCCAACCCCCATCCCTCTACCGACTTGAGTGGGCGTCTCAAGTCACATTAGTGGAAAAACCCCACTCTTAACCCCAGAAAGGTCACGTGGCAGGCGAAAACTTTCGCCACACACAGAAACCAAAGTGAAATGTCAACTTTAAACAGAATATTCTTTCCAAAAATGAGGGATGCCAAGCCTTTGGGTACACAAATTTTATAGCTTAGGTACTTAGGTTCTTGGTCAAGAGTACCTAAAATGTTGTTAAGCTAAGTTTTCTATAAAGAGCTAAAACTATCAACTGTAACCAATAAAAATATCTTATAAATATAAAGATATAAGGGAAGGAAGTTACAAGATATTATAAATTAAATACAGGAAATAAAAAAGATGCTCCCAAAATCCGTTGGACTTTGAAAGCCTTCAATAAGCTGCTTCCAGATTTTGCATAGAATTTGGTACTTTAAAAATTTGATTAAATTGTCAGACTCTTTTAAACATATTTTAAAATCACAATCTTAATTTTTAACCTTCTACTTTCTATCGTCTAACCATATCCTTTGTACCCAAACTAGGAGAAAGTGTACCCTTCACAACACTGACCCCTTGGGTGCCGCTCCAGGCCGTTTTTTGGACTTCACTTCCTTCTAATTAGATGTAAAAGCCCTGGGCATAAGCCCCTCAAGTGTATCTTCTCTTGATTAAAAGTTTACAGTATTTGGTTTGGCTTCTGCGATTCGGATTTTTACAGATCATTTGCTACCATTTTGGGCAATCACAAATGCCTTTAGCGTTGTACACAAAAATTGCCCAGTTTTTCCCGTAAATTTTGCTGGCCCTCCCCCAATCCCAGACTCTTCTCATAAATAAAACATTTATTTACTTAAAAACAGCCAACGGCCAAAAGCTCAATTACGTTTTTTGAAAAATTGCCAGCGAGAAGCTGGAAAAAAAAGGATGAGGAAGCTGTGGACGGGGATGGGCTTTGGACTGGACATTGGTCAAGCATCGTTTGCTGCAATCAATCAAAGGGAAAAGCGGAATCTCATTAAGTTGGCCGAATGCCCCTGTTGCATGACATGGCGGGATTTTATGGGGGGATATAGAAAGAAGTATTAAAGGGAGGGGCAAAGTTCTGTATTTTGAAATATGAAATATTAATATTACAAATTAACAAGGTTCTCTGGTTTCTAGTTTAAATCTTTAGAATATAAAGAATTTCTTTAATTTTCGTTTAAATAAATTTATTTTAACTCATTTCTTTCCATAACATTCAGCAATATCTGGCCAACAAAACCGCTTTAAGTGCTCCTCCCAAACTATCAATAAACACTTCCTGCCACATTTGATTTGCTTCGGATAACTTATAGCGCGCAATTCTTGCGCCCAATACCGCTCCACCAACCTCATCGCGCTCCACCATCTTTATGACCTCTCCGACCGCGCGCATAATTAATTGCACACCCGCCCATCCAGCCGCCCACTGCTCTCGCCCCTCGAGGCTGGAGGTCAGGAATACCGGAGTTCGTTGCGGTTCTATTTGGTTAAGGCTGCCCCTTGACTGCCTTCGTGGTTTGGGGTCGTCAGGCGTTTTGGCTTTTGGGCAGCGGAAATTTGCAATTCGCTGGGCGCAGGCAATGCAATATTTCCCCTCTCCCAAGAGGGGTGGCAGAGCGGTAGCCTGGGTAGAATCTGGCTAACCAGCATACGCTGCGTATGCGTGATAAATGTGCAGTGCCGTAGGCGTGGCAATTTATGCACTTGAAAGTATTTTAAACATAAAAATTTACAAAAAAGAAATTAAATATCAAAAATATGTTGTTTTTAGTTTGATTTCGTATTGTTTTAAGCTTTTATTTGCTAAGAAATATTTAAAGTTTAAGCTTTTTATT